GACTTGTTTGTGGGCCAGTTGAAAAGTTGTCTCAAGTGCCAGGCCTGTGGGTATCGCTCCACGACCTTCGAGGTTTTTTGTGACCTGTCCCTGCCCATCCCCAAGGTGGGATTCCAGAGGATTCCAGGGGTGGATGGGATATGGGTTCTGTGACCCAACCCTACCTACCCCCAGCGTGCGGGAGGGAACTCCTGGGTCTGGAGCAGAATTGAAGCCTAGATAGATTGAGAAGGATTGGCAAAGGAAATTCTGAACATGATCATTCTTCTTTTCCCTTTCACCCAGAAAGGATTTGCTGGAGGCAAGGTGTCTCTGCGAGATTGTTTCAGCCTTTTCACCAAGGAAGAAGAGCTAGAGTCAGAGAATGCCCCAGTACGTGGAGATTCACAAGGGTACAGTAAGGGTGGGAGATCTGGGGGGGACTCCATGTAGATAAAGGAGGTTGCATGATACCTTAGGGTGAGGAATAATATTTATATGTCTGGGTTTATGTTGGAGTCTGATATGTCCTAGTACTCCTAGGGCAAAGGGGAATGACCAGAAGGCATAGAAGTAAAGGGGTGCATACTAAATTTGTATGTGGATTGGAGTGTCAGAAACATCAATTGTGAGGAGCACATTAACCTAACACTATTTGGCATTTATTCAGGTGTGTGACCGATGTCGACAGAAAACACGAAGTACCAAAAAGTTGACAGTACAAAGATTCCCCCGAATCCTCGTGCTTCATATCCTAATCCTCAAATTCTTACCTCTCTTAGGATACTGCCTATAAATTCTCTTTCTTTACTCTCTGAGTTGCAAAGGCTGGCCGCTTAAAAATTGAATTTTCCTTAGGAAAAGTCTGCCAACCCTTCCCTTTCCCCCCCACTGCTCCCAGTGTCTGTTGAAGGAGGTGAGAGGACAGCTTTCAGATTGAAGTCCCTCTCACAGGTCATCTGCCTCCCAAATGCTCCTTAACCTGGGCTTAGATCTGAATCGATTTTCTGCCTCCCGAGGCTCCATCAAGAAGAGTTCAGTAGGTGTAGACTTCCCATTGCAGCGACTAAGCCTAGGGGACTTTGCCAGTGACAAAGCCGGTGAGTCTGGTGGGGAAGGTCCTAAGGAGCCCTAGGAGGGGGTGCACGATTCTAATTGTAGAACTTGATCATCCTTAACCTGACAGGAAGCCCTGTATACCAGCTGTATGCCCTTTGCAACCACTCGGGCAGCGTCCACTATGGCCACTACACAGCCCTGTGCCGGTGCCAGTCGGGCTGGCATGTCTACAATGACTCTCGGTGAGAATAGCCTCCTTTTCAATCCCTGCCCAATTCCCACTGCAGCCCTGACACCTGCCCCTTCTATGCAGCCCCAGAAGAGCAGAGTGTCAGGCATAAGGAGAGGTGGAGGCTCTCCTGATCTCTTCCTGATGCTCTGTGGTTGAGTCTTGTCACCAGTAAGGAATACATAGGAATGAACCACAACTTTTTCCCCATTTCTCTTCCTAGTGTCTCCCCTGTCAGTGAAAACCAGGTGGCATCCAGTGAGGGCTACGTGCTGTTCTACCAACTGATGCAGGAGCCACCCCGGTGCCTGTGACAACCCCTTTAAGCCCTGGCACTTGTGAAACCCTTTCAACACCCTGAAGCCCTAGGCTCCCCATTTACCTCAGAGACGTCTATTTTTGTGTCTTTTTAATCGGGGAGGGGAGGGGAGGGTGGTTGTAGCTCCCATTATTTTTTTTATTAAAAAGTCCCCTTCTACTTGGAGGCTCCCTTGTCTCCCAGCCCCGTGTACAGAGCTCCCAGACCCCCGCCCATGTACAGCCCCCAACCCTCTGCAATCTCACTTTTTGTGAATAAATTTATTAAGAAAAAGCGATGTGCTTATTTATATTTATGCTTAGAGGGGTAATGACACAGGAGTGGGCTGAATTGGAGTCTCCTTGGGACCCAGTTTCCCCTCTGAAGAGGTGGGGGCGCTCTTAGAGCCGAGGGGAAAAGTTTGGGGACTGCGCAGGACCGGGACACGTGTGCCCAAGCTAGGGGAAGAAACACAGGAAGGCAAAGTTGAGGTTTGTGAGGCTGCAGGGATGCCTGGAACTAGATTTCAGGCGCTGGGACGACGGAGTTTTGCGACTATGGGGCTGCCCTCGAGGGCAAGACAACCAAGAACCCCTGTTGACAAACACTAGGTACGTTGCCGGGCTGCCCCAGCTCCCGTAGGCCTGTCTGTTGCTAACAGCAAGGAGCTGTTTATGGAGCCGCTTCCCCCGCGGACCGGCCTCCAGTGTCACAATCTACTCTATCTACAACGAAAACTCATGGGGCCCTCCCTCCAGGGTTCTCACCCTTGCTGGGCCTAGGAAGCCTGAGCTGGGGAATGCTGGTTCCAGGATTAAGCTCTCGCCGCCTCGGGAGGGCAGTGCCATCTACTGCCCCTCACTCCAACTTGGCACAGAAGCGGTTAACTCCCAGCTTCACTGAGCAGCCTTTCACCGCTGTCGTAGCTCCGCCTGGTAGAGTCACCGCTGTTGCCAGTTTAGTATTTTCATTGGTGGACGTAATCCGCGGCATTCCAGGACTCACCAATCCAGAAGCAGAAAGAACAAAGTTATGCACGAGCCGCGAGAATACAGTGGACGGATCGTCGGAGAGGCCTAAAGGGTTGGGGGCAGGAGACGTAGATTTGAAGCGCTTTTGGCCTAAAGAAGCGTGAGAGGCAGAGTGCCTCAGAAGTCCCGCCGGCGGTCTGCAGCCAGAGCCCTGCCAGGACCGATAGCGTGGGTGTGGCACTTATCTGCACTCCTGGAGTGCCGGTGGGATAAGGTCTTAAGACTTGGACATCCTCCTTCTCCCTCATTTTCTCTCCTTTACCCTACCTCTCGTGGGTGAGTCCTGGACCCAGGGCAAAGACCCCACTGTTCCACCAGCCTATCTGCCTGCCCTAGTTTACCTTAAGCAGTGAGTGGTTGGGCATGGAACACGGAACCAGCTGGGTGTCTGGAGCGCAAGTTGTTCCCTGGTCTGCATGTTCATATTGCCCCTTGCCCCCCAGGTTTCCCAATGAGCCGGACTGTAGTTGTGCTGGGCGGAGGCATCAGCGGCTTGGCTGCCAGTTACCACCTGAGCCGAGCCTCTCATCCCCCAAAGGTGAGTACCCACCAGTGCCGGAGGGAGCCTCGTTTAATACTTTTC